ATGTATGTGAAAGTTACCAGAGTTTTTTTTTTTTAATACCCCCGCTCCGAAGGAGAGGGGGGTATACTGTTTTACCCTTGTGTGTCTGTCTGTTTGTCTGTCCGTCTTTGTGTCTGTAACAAATTTTGGTAGCAGTTTTCTCAGCATCTACTCATTGCAGATGCTTGAAATTTTAGCACAATCTTTGTTTAGGCATGCCATATTGTGGGATTCATTTTTGTATGAATCCGATGTCAACTTCCTGTTTATCCGTGCGTCTGTCCGTACCATACTTAAAAAATTTTGGTCGTAGTTTTCTCAGCAACTACTCATCGCAGATAATTGAAATTTTAGCACAATCTTTGTTTAGGCATGCCATATGGTGGGATTTATTTTTGTACTAATCAGATGTCAACTTCCTGTTTATCCGTGCGTCTGTCCGCACCACATGTAACAAACTTTGGTCACAGTTTTCTCAGCAACTACTCATCACAGGTGCTTGAAATTTTAACACACTCTTTGTTTAGGCATGCCATATGGTGGGATTCATTTCTGTACGAATCTGATGTCAACTTCCTGTTTATCCGTGCATCTGTCCGTACCATACATAACAAATTTTGGTCGTAGTTTTCTCAGCAACTACTCATCGCAGATAATTGAAATTTTAACACACTCTTTGTTTAGGCATGCCATATGGTGGGATTCATTTCTGTACGAATCTGATGTCAACTTCCTGTTTATCTGTGCGTCTGTCCGTACCATACATAACAAATTTTGGTCACAGTTTTCTCAGCAACTACTCATTGCAGATGCTTGAAATTTTAATACAATCTTTGTTTAGGCATGCCATATCATGGGATTCATTTTTGGAACAAATCCAATGTCAACTTCCTGTTTATCTGTGCGTCTGTCCGAAACATACATAGCAAATTTTGGTCGTAGTTTTCTCAGCAACTACTTATCACAGATGCTTGAAATTTTAGCACAATCTTTGTTTAGGCATGCCATATGTTGTGATTCAGTTTTTACAAATCCGATGTCAATTTCCTGATTTTCACTGTCTTTGTCTATAACCGAACTTGTGTATTCACATCAGAGCGGGGGTATTATTAGTGAGCATTGGCTCACAGACTTTTTTTTTTGTCCAATCAAATTATTTGGTTCAGGTCTTTTCATCTGATTTAAAAAAGCATTCATATTAATTTTTTAACTTTGTAATCATATATTTTTTCGTAATTGTTTATCCTTTCGAAAGCAGGTATGTATTAAACCGGATATAAAAAATGGGTTCATATAGCCAAAGGAGATTTGCGGGACAACAGCCTCAACATAATTTGAAGTCATCTGAATTTTAGAACATATATTTGAAAAAATTAAATGATTTTTTTTCTCGGGAATTTACATGACCTTCATGCTTTTTAGAAAAAGTGCAGATTTAAACATGGTTTTATTCTATCTAAAAGTACAGATTAAAAATTGCAAAGTCTGAACGAAGAAATGCCATGTTGGCATGCTTACTTCAGTTTGGTTTTGTTGCAAATGATTATGATATAAGGCTGAATATAATATTAAAAAGTTCAGCAAAGGTCAGATCATTAATGAAAATAGTTTTTGCAAAACATGCAAACAATTTTCAGAGGTATCTTCTTTAGTGACAGTGTCCTTAGAGCTCTCACAAGCCCAAATGGCAAAATTGTTAAAATTGTGAAAATTAAAGAACAACAAATGCAATTAAATATTTATGTTTAAATTTATTTTCATTATTTTTTAAAAATCAAATTATGATGTATAGAAGCATAGCTGCTATACCTACTGAAACCAAAACCAGACTGCATTTTGACCCTCAACAATTCTCTTTGACTCCTGGATTTATTTCACAAGGCCACAATGGCCCTTGGTTTTCAAAGTTAGTGGAAACACTGAATGGTATCTTTCTAACCACTGCATGAGCTTTTATAATGTATTTACATTTTTTTGGTACATTCAGTGATCTATGCTTTGAACAAAAGTGGAAAAAAAATCCTTTTTAGCTCACCTGAGCTGAAAGCTCAAGTGAGCTTTTCTGATCACATGTTGTCCGGTGTCCGTCTGTCTGTTCATCCATATGTCTGTAAATGTTTCACATTTTCAACTTCTTCTCAATAACCACTGGGCCAATTTTAACCAGTTTTGGCACAAAGCATCCTTGGGTGAAGGAGAGTTAATTAATTGTTAAAATGAAGGGCCTGGCTCCCTTACAAGGGGAGATAATCAAGAAAAGACAAAAATAGGGTGGGGTCATTAAAAAATCTTCTTCTCAAGAACCACTGAGCTAAAAAGCTGAAACTTATATGAAAGTATCCTGGGGTAGTGTAGATTCTAAATTGTTCAAATCATGACCCCTGGGGTTGGGTGGGGCTAAAAAAGGATATCCAAGTTTTACATTGAAATATATAGGGAAAATCTTTAAACATTTTCTTCTCAAGAACCACTGGGCCAGAAAAGCTGAAATTTATATGGAAGCATCCTGGGGTAGTGTAGATTCTAAATTGTTCAAATCATGACCCCAAAGGGTAGGGTTGGGCCACAATGGGGAATCTAAGTTTTACATTGAAATATAAAGAAAAAAATCTTGAATAATCTTCTTCTCAAGAACCACTGGTCCAGAAAAACTGAAACTTAAGTGGAAGCTTCCTGGGGTAGTGTTAATTTGAAATTATTCAAACAATGACCCCTGGGGGGTAGGATTTGGCCACAGTAGGGAATCCAAGTTTTATATTGAAATAATTATAGCAAAAAATCTTGAAAAATCTTCTCAAAAACCACTGGGCCAGAAAAGCTGAAATTTATGTGGAAGCATCCTGGGATAGTGTGGATTCTAAATTGGTCAGATCATGACTCCCAGGGGTAGGGTGGTGCCACAATAGAGAATCAAAGTTTTACATTGAAATATACATAAAAAATCTTCTTCTCAAGAACCACTGGGCCAGAAAAGCTGAAACTTATGTGGAAGCTTTCTGAGGTAGTGTAGATTCTAAGTTGTTCAAATCATGATCCCCCCCACCCCCACCCTGGGTATGGTGGGGCCACAACATGTATAACAAGGAGGGAAATATAGTGAAGAAAAGCAGATTTAAAGTTACTCAGGTGAGTGTTGTGGCCCATAGGCCTCTTGTTTATCACATTTCTTTCCTTCCCTGTTTTATAAGAAGTTCAATTCATTTACCCAGTATTCAAAAAATATTGTATTGGATGTTTGGACTTGAATTACTTAACAAGTATAGGACCGGAAGTTACTGATCAGTACACAGTACTTATTTCTGCTATAATAAGACTTCTGACATTCCCCATTAATGTCTAGCTCAGGAAATTTTCACTATGTAAAATGTCTGCCCATTAGATGTGCAAATTGCATTGAGTTAATGAAGCAGTGAGAACTAAGTGACTTTGATTTTCTTTGCATGAGTATGAATTGTGCATGTGAAATAAACATCAAATAGACTGTATGAGTAGACCAATTCTTTGAACTAATGTCATTGTATAAACTCCAAGTACTGAGACAAAATACAGACACATTAAATTCCCTCCATTTTTTGTATGTGTTTAGATGAATTAATATTTCATTAGAAATATATGGAAAAAAGATTTATTTCAAAAGACTGAAGACTTAAATTTCCCTATTTGAGTGTCTTAAACAAAATTAATCAATATATTTCAATACAATACAAATTTCCTATCTGCAGACAAATTGAAATATATATAATATATATACATTAAAATTTACATAGCTGTTCAGCATATTTAAAGTTGCTTTAAGAAAATGGCAATTCCCCCAGTCTAATGCTTTATCATACGGTAATATCTTTGACAACATCACAGCATGATGTGTTTATTCAATATACCACTTTGTGATCTCAACATAAAAAAGGAAGTCTGAAAATTTCTTGTTTACAAGTTCAGTTTGAAAAGAAAGGATTTTCACTTATTTCAGCTCTAAATTTTCTATTTACTATAATGCATAGATCTATATAAATCATGGCTACTAATATGACTTAAAGGGTTTTCATGAAAAATGGTTGCTTGTGTATTTAAAGGATTTTGATGTACAAGGTTTTTAGCAGAGCTTCCTGGATTAATGAAGAGATGAAAGTCAAGCCTTGAATTAGAATACTTCATGTTTGTATGGAGTACAAAAGACTTCAAACAAACAGTTCTTAAGGAGGTTTTCTGAAGTTTACTTGTACAACATCTTTGGTTTAAAAAGAAACAGTTACAAACATGCAAGAAAAAAAATATATGCACAGCTTTCAAGCTTTATGAGAGAGTCAGTCCTCATACATGATTGTACAGTTCATTTGCTGGACCTCCTATTAGCACTAGTAATTAATATTGTTCTATGGCTAATTACTCCTTGTACACTTTGTCCAAGCACTGTTAATTACAGCAGGATTTATTGAATGACAATGGACACAAATTGACTTTTCATAATGGCCTCAGGACTTTATTTATATATTGCACTATTCATTAATATTATTAAAAAGTCATCAATACATTCTGTGATTGACAGGCTAGATAATTAACTAGCAGTAAATTGTTAAAGAAGAGGATTATCTCCCCATGTTTACTATGTCTTGTAACAATGAACATCTTAGATAAGCTCTCCTGCTCTCGGAGGGGTGTTAATTAGGTGGAATGCTTGACTGAGTATGGAGTGTTATCCTACAAGGTTAGGCCTGTCACCCCTAGCAGGGAATAATGGACTAGTCTTGGTCGTTTGATCGTGACCCAGAAAACAATCACATTGAGAAGACCAGGGGACTCAGTTATATGTTTACATTGTTACAGAGTGATAGGGACTTCAGTGTGTCAATGTGGAACTAGTTTTTTTTTTAATTTCCAACAGGAAATGATTCTGTAGCTGATACATAAGCATGTGTCAATAGAGAGAGCAGTCTGATGTTTATTGATCCGAGGGTAGTGTTTAAAAAAAAAATCACTCCTTCAGTATGCAACAGTTAATAAGCCATTTGTGTTAAACTCAAGAAAGATTTCTCATATATCGTTATGAGCAAGTGATAATTGGAAGAAAGGTCTATTTGATATTTACGGAATATTACCATGGCTTCCTTGGGAAGCCTTCCTATGGATAATCGACAGTTATATCTTAGTCGCCAAACATCTCTCAGGAGATCCAAACGCAAGTCCAGCGGATTTGGAGGCAGTAAGTATATAAGGCACCTCTAAACAGATTTCATCTGGAGTCTTATAGGAGGCTTACAGTTAATCGTAAAATATCTAAGTTGAAGTGAATTTCTGACGATATATGTTGAGGTATTGACAGAAATAATACATAAGAAAATAAATGTCATGTAATCAGAAACGGGGATTACACATGTATATAGTTCTAGGCATTGCATTGGGCACTTAGTTTGTGGACAGATTATGCAGAGAGGCGACCATCAAGAACTGGTTTTGATGGTTGTGACAGAGTATATTCCTGGCCTGTCTATGACAGTCTCTGTATATGTATATTCATTGTCAGACTTTATAGAGTCATACTCTGTCATGTAGAAGTCGCTGGAAGAGGCCCGCCAAACCCAATGCGTGGGGACTTTTAAATCAATCTTTATGAATGCTAGCTCTGTCTTCCTGAATATGTAGGCCATAATATAACCTGTAGAAAAATTATGTTTGGAAAGAATGAATGAACATTTAATAGTTAGGGTACATATTTATTATTCATTCAAGTTTGAAAAGTTTTCATTCATTGATTCACAGAGGTGTTCCTTATACACAGAGCATTTTTTATGGTAGATTGTGAACAAATGCCTGCATGTTACACTGTTATATAGAGGCTACAATTAACACAAGCTTGTTATCTAAAATGAGGATTTAAGGCATTAGAGAAAACAGATAGAACATCCACTTTAGCAGGAAATTAAGCACTTTATGAGATTGAGGCCCCATGCAGGGTGTAACGAGACTCAGGAGGGGGTTTCCTTAGTCATCAGAAAGGTACAGTTTGTATTATGTCGAGACACAGCTGGTATCACCCCCTTGGTGTTCTTATCCAGAAACCTGTAAGCAAGAATTACTGTGTTAAGTAAAATCTGTCTGTATTCTCGGAGTTGGACACTGGACAGGGCTGTTTTATATATATTTAGTACAAAGGGGAAGCAGTCCTTGATATAGCTACCTACTGGAGTTATATAGACTTTGGATCCGGAAATAGAAGTAATTCAAATACTGGAAGGAAAAGGGGATGGGGATTTTGACTACTTTTCACCACTCAACAAGTTTTTATAGATACATGTTTTACATGGCTGTTAGTTTGTGGGAAAAAGGAGAGGTATTCTAATAAAATGGACCCTCCATTATATACTTAAACTGAAATGCAGTATCATTATAAAAGGGAACAGATTTCAAAGTACATCACAAGATCAAGGGTGAATTAAGATGAACAAAAAAAAACTAGATTTCAAAGTACATCACAAAATCAAGGGTGAAATAAGGATGAACTAAAAAGTAATTATGACATTTCATAGAACGAGGCACTGACTCATTCAGAAATATTTAATATTTACTCCAAACATTTCTTCAACCATGCTTAGATTGTCTTAATTCGAGTGCTAGTTTTATGTACAAGTCTGAACGTAGGTGGAAAATATCGAAAAGGAAGGTCAGTTTCTTTACTACACGACAAGATTGACTAAGACGTGAGTGAAGTTGAGAGAATGTGTTTAATAAAAACAAGCTATAAAATTAAGGCTCTAGCTGACTCATTTTCAACTATACCACTTTTAATTTTTGCTTTTAAGGTCCTAGGATACCCAGAATTTGGAGAGAGTGTAGATTTTTTCGTTCCTTCTTGATTGTGTAGTTTTTAGGTTCAAATTAACTTGTTACATGGTAAAAATTAGAGTAGATGCATTCTGAGAGATTTCAATGCTTTTGAATTTCCATATAGATATAAAAGGAAAGATTTGGGGAGAATGACAAATTAAGGAGGGATTCTTCTCTTAAGAACACTTATTTCTTATATTTAAAAATCAATGAAATTTTCACAGAATCAAGAAGACAATATCACTAAGTGATGGTATCAGTTAGATTAAATTTGACCGTTTTATATTAGAGGCAAGGTCAGGTCAAGGTCAGTACCTTTTCCCTGGACATTAAGAATAAAAAATTACTGTTGCCAATCATGCGATGCCTACTTCTATTTTAATAAATTAAATGTTTTTCTTTTTGCATAAAGAGATATTACCATATAGGGTCTATAAGATGACATTACCAAATTGACATAAATAATTTAACTAAAATGGATATTGGCTAATCCGAATTTTCTCTATTTTTCTTAAAATTTTAAGATATTTTAGTTATTTTTATATGCCTCCTATATTTAAATTTTTCTTATTTTCACATATGGTAAAGTTGTCACATAAAGATACAAATTGATATAAAAACAAAGAGTTTTGACCGTTTACTAAGAGAGAAAAAACACTTTTTATGGATTTTTGGCTCAAATCTGAACTTAGATTGGAAGCTTTTAAAAGCTAACATAATTGAAGTTTGTTTGGAAAATCATATTTATTTCATATATTTCAAAACTTTAGTCCCTTATTATTAATTTAACTTACATTTAAAAATTTTCTCCAAGTCTTTGATTGTGTAAAAATTATAACTAAATTCATTGTTCTATAATTATTTTGAGAGGCAGAAAAGAAGATATTTTCATACGCCGCCATTCCGCCAAAAATATAGTCCCTGCTAGATTTCAAATTCAGTTTACCATTTCTATTTAAAGTTGTACAATTGTGATGAGGAAAGAAAAATATGATCTTTTAAATCTCTTACATCTAAATATATAAAACATATAAGCAAATATACTTTGAATATTTCATCTAGTCAGAAACCAGACAAGAATCCCTCCTTAAAGCTGGTTTAATGGGGAAATTTTGTGATAAATATGTGTTTTAGCAATAATTAGACCTGCACAATCTATTTTACAAATTTCGATCTCTAACATAATTTTTTGAATATCATATATGCTTAAATGGGAGCTGTTTATCATGTTTATAGGAGCTAGCTGTAAACTGTTAAATGAATTCAAGCAAATATACCTTGGGGCTGTTTTGTTCTTGCACAAGTTGTAAATCACGGATCATCATTGTGTGTGCGAGCTTTGATACATATTTTGGTCATTCATAATAAAAACAAACTTTTAAATGTTGACAGAATTACAAGATGATGCAATCCAGACAGAATTTTTAAAAGTTAGCCCTGTTAGTGTAGGTTATTTTAGACGAATTGCGAGGGTTTTAAGGATTAATTTGATTGTGTTTGAACAAAGGTGCTAATTCCTGGTGTTTTGGGAGCAGGACAATTTGATACCCGAGTTTAGAATTGGAATACGTGAATTGCCAGATTGTCACATGATTAAGTTGTATTGAGAGCCCTGTTCTTATAATGAATCTGTCTAGTCATGGATGAAATCATGTGTAAAAAATATAAGATAAGATAGCAATCTAATTCCTCTATCTTTTTTGGTGTGTTCATTTCAAAGAATTGCTGTGATCTTGTTGTAAATTAAAATTCGTAGGTGTGTGTTTAATTTACTTCAGAAATGCACTTCCTGTACAAGGAAGTATGCACCCAGTGCACATGGCCGTTATTTGAATTTATAGGCAGGTGCCCCGATAATGATAGATCTGTCTGTAACAAAGGTGCTACTGCAGGACTGTCTAAACCTGATTTGATAAATGATGCATAGAGTTCACTATTTATTATATTCCTATTATAAAGTTTTTTCATTCCCAAGTTACGCTCTTTCTGCAGTTGTGAGGGTTTAGTTTTATAATACAACAGAGAAACTGCATGAGTGTGTGCGTGCTGAATTTATTATTTTGCACAGACATGAAAAATGAACAGTCATCAATGTAATTGATTACGATAAGAAGAAAAGGGAGAAAAAACATTGACCTTGGTGTTGATCTGGGACTCATTTGTCAGACTGTTATCATGATATGAAGACAATCTATTTATCCCCCCTTGTTTTTATATCTGTTTGTATTAGTTTAGGTGTAATGAATGGTTACAGAGAGAGTGAACATTAAATGGAGGGAATCTGTTCCACTAATCTTGTACTCTACTGTTACATGTCTACATGCATTAGCTGTTTAGATGAGTGAAAGGTTTCACATAACCAGGTTACTGCACTTCTGTGCTTTATCTGAGTTATTAATCTGATTTCCTGACAAATAAATAAGCCTTCTCTAATTACACTCGGGCTTTTTAAGATTTTTCTATGGGAGAAAGAATTTTAAATATCTCGATTTCCATATGAAGGTCCTCTCAGTTCTTTTTAATATCATTTACAAATTAACTGTGCTGAGATTATTTTGTGTATGAGTACAATGTTGTGGATTCCATTCAAAATTATTGCAAGGATATCTTTTTCTACCAATTAAAACAGGATAAAAAACAAAATATAATCTTATTCTGAAACAGTGGGGTGCAAGACAACACATATATCAATGTTACTGAAAAGTGCAGATCACCAGTACAGGTGATAAATTTTTATTAATGTGTTGTGGTGCAGTAGTTGTAGTGCAGTAGTACAGTTCTTTCATGATCATAGGTCATGAGGCATACTATAAGTTTGTGTAAGTCAGCGGTAGATGGTAGTCACTGGCATGAGTCTGACTCAAAACTGACTCACCATGATCACAGGAAGACAATAGGGGGCACCTCGTAAACACAAATAACCTACAAAGGGAGAGAGATGTCTAACATCTTTATATAGATCTATCATATATTTCATTCTTTGGTTTGTTTTTTTCCATCAGTTCAAGTTAAGGCTGTGTAAATGTTGCAGGAAGGAAGAGCAATATGACTGAGTTATTTAAGGTTAAGGCTCCAGCATGTACTGTATTGCACAACACGACTAATTACCCGTAGATATGGTTAATTAGTATCTTTTCTGATGCCTGTATTTTTCCATATGAACCTTTCATATTTCTGTTTCGTTTTACACACTGTAAACTGAACATCTGACTTATAGTTACCCCCTAGTTGTGACCATGAATATTTGCCTACCTGTGGACTAGCTAAGCGACCAGGTGCAACAGATTTTTCCTCTCATACATCTACATCATATTAAGATTTTTCTTGATACTTCCCAGACCTAAGAAAATATTTGTTTGTATATACACTGTGTACAAT